AAGAGTAGGGTCTATCAGGTCAAGTAATGAGTGGAGTTTTCAGCCAGGTCCAACTCACGGCACATCCAGTGGACCCCCAAATCCAACCTGTGGTCATTTCCCCAGTTCCCAAATGCATAATTAGAAATTGTATTCCTATACCTGTTAGGAATAAAACTTTCATTTTATTAAACAAAAAAAACAGATCTGAGCTCAACAGGACAGCTTTATTTCAGAACAAACCTGAGAGGGACCTCTTTGCACTAGAACAGGCCAGGAACTTTTTGTACAGGCTATGGGGTCTTTTGTAGGGCCATGGGGAGGGGGTGCTCCGTGAGAGAAGTTGTGGCTGTCTGCCAAGAACCTGGCTGGGAGCACAAGCGGTGTCTGGGAAAGCACAGGGAGCAGTGGCTTCTATTAATGGCAAGGCTGATCCTGTTACAAGTCCCCAGATGCAGCTGTGCCGGGAGCAGGTGGTTCAGAGGGGTCTCTGATCAGGATGGCAGTGGTGAGATTCCTTTAATACCTACCATAAAGGTCCTAGTCATCCCCCTGGCTTTGCCCAGAATCCCTGACCTGAAAAATTTGAGGGCATTTTTCTTTTTTCATAGTGAAAATATATTAATTTTTTGACCTGTGCTGGTAGCTCAAGAGCCACATCTGGCCGGTTAATTATGTAGGTATGGCACCCTACCCATTCTGTGTCCCCAGTGACTTTCCAGGGCAGACTGGTGTGGCATTATTGGCTTTGGGATCCACCCCAGAGGCTGATGGCACAGTCTCTTTTTTTTTTCCCCTCTTCAAAATAAATACTGTTATTTTCAGTAATCATAGTTCAGTAATCAGAGGACTGTTGTGTGTGTAATATGGAATAAAACAAATGAGCAGTTAGAGGAAATTCTAATTGTACAATCCCCATGACCATCCACAATTCTGTAATCCACAGTGACAAAGAGACAGCGATGCTAAGGAATGAACGCCTGTGGTCCTAACCTGGAATTGGTGTGAGGTGGAGTCCCTTGGGCCGTACACGCTCAGTGCACTCAAATGCCTAAAGGCAGTGATCAAACCAGTAATCACAGATACCTCAGGCAACAAGCGTGAAGTCTTGAGATACCATTTCCCACAAAAGGAACCCAGAATTAATACATTAATTAATTTTTTTTAAAAAAGGAAACCAGTATTTCTTGAGGAAATAGCTCATTTCAGTTCTGGGTCAGAGAATAAATGAGATAAGCCTCCTGGTGTGTCTGTGTTTTTTTTTTTTTTTTTTTTTTTTGGTACCGGGGATTGAACTTGGGTCTTGCGCTTGCAAGGCAGGCCACCGAACCATTGAGCTAAATCCCTGGCCCGTCCGTGTATTATTTAGGAGAAAAAAATAGCAAAAATTGTTAGGGTCAGGTAAAGGAATCAATATCCAAAGAGAAGAAAAATATGAACTTCAATGATGATGGTAACCAATGAATTGAAAAATTATAAAATTGTTTAAATTTATAATTCCATTACAATGCTTTGAAAAATAATCTAAGTGGCACATTCGGGGGATTAATAAAGCAACTAATTTTTCTAACTAATTTCTGCATTACAGGATAGTACAAAAATTTGACAAAGAATTTTTGTATACACTGCACTCAGACTATGCAAATGCCAACATCATACTGTGCCTCCATTGTCTTTCTAAGTACATATGCCATTTATATAAAACATGCATAATATATAATTTTCTCTGAAATATTTGAGAAAAAGCTGTAGAAATGATGCCCATTTATCACTACTCAAAAAAAACAAGGACGTTATCTTTTTAGAATGCAGTGCGATTATCATGGAAATTAATATTGATATTGTACTATCGACTAATCTACAGATTATTACTCAAAATATGCCAAATGCCCCATTAAATCAAAAGCAAAAAATTCTGAGTATCCAATCCAGATCACAGACTACATTTGTCATGGCTTTTTTTTTTCTTCTTTTAATCTGGAACACTTCTTCAAGTTTTGTTTCTTTTGTGACAATATTTTTAAAGTGTGTATGTCTAATTGCTCCTCGTGAATAGGTTCCAGTTATGTTTGTCAGGAATGCCATAGAAATAATCCTGGGCTCTTCTTCGTATACCAAATCAGAAGGTAGCTAGTAGCCATTTGTCCTTTTACTAGCAATACTAACTGTAACCATTTAAGATGGTGTCTCACGCCTACAACTCTAAGGTCTATCTGGGCTCACAATCTATACAAGTTTCTAATCTTGGCTCCAAAGCAGGGTGGCATGGCACAGGAGAGAAGGGCTGCGGATGTAGCTCAGTGGCGCAGAGCCTGCCTGCCAAGAATGAAGTCCTGAGTTTGAACGCTGTTACTGAAAACAAAACAAAAAAGCCTGCGGCAAGACATTTGAAAGCACCTTTCCAGGTACATCCCCAGTTGCCACCGCCTCCAACTAGGTTTTACCTCTGCACGTCATTTAGCTATAAACTCTGGACTAATCCACTGAGGAACATCACGCACCCCTGATCCCATCATTCCTCAAAGCTCCAGCTATGAGCACATGAGACTTTGAAGGGATATAAACCATAACAGTGTCTGCCAGATGGGCGCATTATAAAGTTTCCTATGTAATGATGTACAAGTGGCAATCAAAAAACTGAATGGTTGGGTCGGGGATTTAGCTCAGTGATTCTGCGCCTGCCTTGCAAGCGCAAGGGATCGAGTTCGATCCCTGGTACCAAAAAAAAAACAAAATCTGAATGTTTGTTTTATAAACTTATTATAGTAAAACACACTGAGGGCACGCAGCCTAGCGTGGGCGCGCATGCGCACTCGCTCGTAATGGAGGCGGGGCCCTTGGGGGGCTACGTCAATCTGACCACTTCCGCTCTGACACGCTCCCCTGTTCAGCTTCCGGATGTTACTACTCCAACTGCCTCCGCCATGATATTTTGCTGTTGGAATCCGCGGATCATGGACGGGAACAGCAAATTCTCTCCTTGAAGCTGTAGGTGTGCAGTTTTTGTGATTCAGTGACAAGAAAGCTAACACATGTGGCTTCTCTCTCAGGTTCTTTGCAAAGCGATTGTGAAGAAGGCTGGAAGAACAAGGAGTAGAACTTCAGCGATAAAGTAGCCAGATTAGGTCACGAATTGTGTCTAACCAGGCACCCACCATCCTTTAGAGCCAGGACACAGCAACGCAACTCCGGTATGTATGGATACTCTCTTCTGTATGAGGGTTGAGTCAGGCCTTGGGGATGAAATGCCAGACAGACAGGGATGCTGGCCTAATGCAGTGCGGACGGTTACCTGTTTTCTTGCTTATAAGGCATAACTCTTTACTTAATAGTACATTCCACCCATAATTACAGGCAGCTAAATTAGATAAAAATTTATACAGTCAGAGAGGGACTGGGGTCTCAAGAAGTCAGCAAAGGGCCGGGGATTTAGCTCAGTGTTTCCACCGCCTGCCTCGCAAGCACAACGTCCGGAGTTCAATCTCCGGTACCAATAAATAAATAAATAAATACATAAAATTTTAAAATAAAAATAAAGAGGCTATTCAGCCAGGCGTGGTAGTGCACGCCTGTAATCCCAGCAGTCGGGAGGCTGAGGCAGAAGGATCGCTGTTAGTTCAAGGCCAGCCTGGGCTACATAGTGAGTTCCAGGTCAGTCTCAACTACATAGCGAGCCTGTCTCAATTTTTTTTAAAAAAAAAAAAAAAAAAAAAAAAAAGGAAAAAAAAGAAAACAGAGGCTATTTAAATAAATAAATAAAGACATCAGAGTTGTGGCTGGAGGTGCATGTGAAGCAGGCCAGGCAGGGCTCAAGATAAAGAAAGATGCAGTGGCCAGGCCTACACACCTCCTAAGGGATGAAGCATAAGGAGATTATATGGTGGACCCCTAACTTACGTACACAATTTGTTCCCGAGGGCTGGTTGTAACTCAAGTTGGTCAGTGAAGGCTCAGGCTCCTCTACACAGCCTTTAAAGTCTCTTTTCTGCGTACAGACAAATCTGTGTCCTTAGATACTAGCCCAGGATTTCTCAACCCCACACAGGGAAAGATGTAATGTTCTTTCCAGAACTCTTTAAGGGTTAAATCTGTAAATGCGACCATCTAGAAGCACAAGCGGTCTGCATTCGGGTCCTTACTCAAGATTTTGGTTGTAAGTTAAAACTAAAATTCTGGTCATAGCCCAAGTTGTTCATAATGTCGGGCTGGTCTTAACTCGAGGTTCCACTGTACTATAATTAGCACCACTTGATCCAGTCGGGAGTCAGTCCCCCAGGCGGGTGACCAGAGCATGCGGCCTCATCCCTTCCTAAATGCCTCTTTCCTTCCCGTGTACCCGGGCGATGTGTCTCGCTTCCGGATTGGATCAGTATTAGCTAAGCGGCAGTGCTCCTCATCCTATAGGTCGATGGCAGTACGACTCACGTTGTACCCACACTGTGACTTTGCTGTATAAATCACCCTCGGCCAAAGGCCGCGGTGGCCATTCATTTGGAAATCGGGAGGTATTCTCATTTCCAATAAAATGTTCCTTTGGTTAGCGACTTCATTCCTTGACGTTGTGGGACCACACACTCGGCACATATTTCTCTAGCATCTTGGCTGAATCCTTTCATCAGGGCCCTAAGAACCGAGGACCAGAGGAACAAAAGTTCCTTTCCTCAGTGCGTCAGGACCACGCTCCCACGTAATATCATTACTTTACAAAACGACACAAGCCATAGCTTAATAATTAAATACGAAAACTTACATGTGTACAAAATGACGACGTCTATCCTCACACACCCACACTCGCGTGGGTAGGTTGTAAAACTATTACCAGCAATCGTGCATTTTTACTGACCAAGCTGCGCAGGCGCTCCGAGGCGGTCACCGAGGCCCTGGATTGGGCAGCCGGCCGCAAAGGCGTACGGGCGTCAGGACGCAGGAGGTGGGGCTTGCGGTGAGCGTCCCTCCTCCAGCCTGTAAAAGTTTGTGCCAGAGCCGTGCGCAGTTGAGTCGTGAAAAATGCTGCTAGCGTTGCGTCACATTAAATGATTTTCTGAGGCTGCATTACTAGTCCACTGCTGTATGCGGCATACGGTCCGTGAGGTGGACACCCCTGATATATAAGGAAAAGAGGTCTTTGAAGATGTGTGTTACGAATCTCAGCTTGGAGAAATGAGCCTGGTTTACCCAGATGGACCCTAAATCCAACAAGTATCCTAATGGAGGAGAGGCCGCTGGATATTTGATAGATGCCGAAGAGAACGCCATGAAACCACTGTTGAGGACTTCGGAGTGAAGGGGCCAGCGGGAAATGGCTCCTCCAGAAGCCCGACGCAGCAAGAATTGTCTTCTGGGATATCCACAGGGTACACAGCCCGGCGGATACCTTGCTGTCCGTGAACTGTTCTCGGACGCCTTACCTGCCGAACTGTGAGCGAATAAATTTCTAGGGGGTAAGTCTCTCAGTTTCAGATAATTTGTCATGGTAGCCACAGGGAACTGACGCAGTGGTGAGGGAGAATCCGAGGAGCTAAAGCAAAGGGTCCGGGGCAGGGGCCATCCTAACACAAAGTGGTTACCATAGTGCCGGTCCAGCAGCGTTTTAAACATTGTATGTACTTCATACATCCCAGTAGTCTGCAAGACGGGTGTTTTTATTTTTACAGATGAAGAAAAGGGTTTTAGAAGACTCAGTACCTTCCCCACCCCCCGTTACCGGGGATCGAATTTAGGACCTTGAGACAGGCGGTGGAGCCACTGAGCTAAATCCCAGGCCTTCGGTATACTGCCTTTGAATAGCACAGGCTGGAAGCAGAGGTGACGACGAAGGATGCCAAAGCCCATATTTTTACCGCATTGTTTCTCTGGTGTGAGAAACTGAACGTGGAAATAAGGACTGAAGTGTATAATGGGTGTTGGGAAATGGGAAGAAAGTGTTCAAATGGGAAGGGGAACGAGGGAGGGAGGAGGGAGACAGGAAGGGACAAGAAAACAGTGAAGATGGAAGGAAAAAACGGAAGCAAAGCTTTTGTATGTAGGGAGGAGAGGGGATGTTGGGGGGAGGGATAAAATAAAATTTGTGTTTTAGAAAAGCCCATGTTTTTCTCTACGTTGTTCTTTGGTAGTTGGCCATTCCAGTGCATATTTATTTGCCATGTGAGTAAACATGCCAAACCTATTAAGATTTCCAAAAAAAAAAACCCATGCTATTCTTTATTTGCTTTAATGGCCAGTGAGACTAGTGATGATTCCAAAATGGACAAGTGATGATTTACCATATGAATAAAAATGTCAGACCTATTGACTTTTTTAAATAAAAGGAGTTTAGTCCTAAATTAGCTTTATTAGCAAAAATTGGATAAGTGATGATTGCTCAGTTCCTTCCTGGCATTTTGTGCTTTTACTGCTGCAGACTCACCAAAGAAAGATATAGTGTGTTTCCTGCGCAGCTCGGAAAGCGCGGACCACAGGACTAGGGATTCCTTTGGAGGAGATGGCGTAGTTAGTATGTGCGCGCACTGCGGAAAGACGGGCCACAAGGGGGAGCAGTGAGGAGGTTGTGCAGGTACAGGAGAATCTGTAGCCTAGACGTCATCTTTGCTCAGGTTTTGGGCTTGAAGATCCACAGTTTGACACGTGGTCTACAGCATAGTCCGGATAATCTCTCATCCAAGTACCAACTAGGTTCGACTCTGCTTAGCTTCCGAGATCAAATGAGATCCGGGTCGTTCAGCCGTGGTATGGCAGCAGATGAAGTACAGTCCTAGTTTCCAGAGATGCTTCTTGAAAAAACAGATTCTAGGGCCTTCCACAGTTACTAGATCGGGGGAAACCTACATTTGAACAGATCGATCTATCTTAACTATCTTCATCAATAATATAATGTACATGGGCTGGGGATTTAGCTCAGTGGCCCCACCACCTTCCTCTCAAGCACAAGCTCCTGAGTTTCATCCCCGGTACCAAAAATAATAATGATAATAATAATAATGTAATGTACATAGCAGACTTGTTTATTGGTACATTTTAGGTATACATTATGATCACATTCATCATTGGGAATTTGTACCTTGTACATATTATATCTTGGCTTTTTTTTTTTGGTATCGCTATGGTATGATGCTTTCAGTTCTTTCAAGAAGATATCAAGAGGTATAGCTGGGTCAAATGGAACCTCGTTTTAGTTTCTTGAGGAACCTCCACACCGATTTCCATAGTGGTTGCACCTGTTTACACTCCCACCAACAGTGGAGAAGGGTTCCCTTTCCCCCACAGCCCCTCCAGCATTTGTTACTGGTTGATTTGATAGCAGCCATTCTCTCTGGGGTGAGGTGAAATCTCAGCATTGTTTTAATTTGCATTTCACGAATGACCAGTGATATTGAACATTTTTCATGTTTATTTGCTGCTTCTACTCCATCTGAATAGTATCTATTCATTTCAGATGCCCATTTTTGGATTGGGTCTTTAAATTTGAGGGGTATATGATTTTTAAAAGTTTTTTCTATATTCTAGATAGTGGTCCTTTGTCTGAGGAATAGCTGATAAAATTTTTTTTCCCCACATTATGCTTTGTCTCTTCACTCTGCTGGTGGTTTCTCTTAGCAGAAGACTCTAAACATTTAGTACATGGTTTTAAAACTTCTTAAGCTGCATTCTTTTTTTTTTTTTTCTCCTTATCTCTGTGTGTTGAGAAACTATCTAGGTCTCTTCTGGCAGCTAGCAGTCTTTGTGCATGGAACACTGAACATTGTATTGGGCTTAGTATTGGCTATGATATGGTGACCCAAAGTAACAGTGGTGGAAAAAAGATGTAAAAACAAAAAAAAAAAGCTATTCTATACCATAACCGACTTTTAAAAAAGTAAGATGTCCAAATGCAAAAGTATGCTGTCCAAGGGTGGTGGATGACAGGTTTGGGCTCTTTTTGCTCTGCTGCTGTTTGGCTTCTGTTCCTTGTCCCCATGTCCGAAGGGACGTTTAGAATTTGCCATTAAATCCACAAACCAGGCACAAAAGCTCCCTGCATATTTTCCTCTTCCCTCGAAGGATGCCAGAAGAAACTGAGGAACTGCAAGATCCTGAGAGGGGCTCTAGTCCTGTGTAATGTACATATAAATCCTGGTTCACACATGCATTTGTTGAAGAACTGTCATTGTATTTTCTCTAAGGCCATCATTCCTGATGGACTTCTTTGGTCCGTCTGGCCTCAGGCTTATGTAGTGTTGAGGCAACGGGCACAGAATGCCTGCTTCTTGGTGATGGGACCATACAAGTAGTCATCAAGATAGCCACTCTCCTTATCTGTGTGGCCCCATTTAGATTTGGTGGCTACCTGTTCTTTGAAAAGCAAGCTTCTGATGTTGTACTTAGTCTATCCTGACTAGACAAGGAAGGGTAAGCAAATTTCCTCCTGTTCCCAAAGAAGGTGCCATAGTTAACCCAAAAGAGTTAAAGAGGGCTGGAGAGCTGCCACAGCTTGGCCTGCTTGGTTACAACCTCATCAGTGATGAGTATAACACCGCCGTGACACCGTCACCTTCCAAGAGCCACCTATGAGAACAGATGGGACGTTTATGGGACATTTTAGATCTACATCGTAACAGGCTCACTGCAAAAGTTTCTTTCAAATATTTTTCTTAAATTTTGACATGCAGCCAGGTGTAGTGGAATACACATGTAAACACAGCACTCTGGAAGGCTAAGGCAAGAGGGTGGCAAATTGAAGCCCAGCCTGGGCAACTTAGTGACTTAGCAAGACCTTCCTGCCTCCAAAAATTTCAAAAACGTTCCTGAGATGTAGCTCACTGGGCTTAGTCCTCAGTATCACAAAAAACATGCGGCATAGAAATGCATCATGGCCCTATAATTGATGTACAATCTTTATATAACAAAAACATCTTGGCCGGAAGTGCACCTGAAAGCAGAGCTTCTGATGAAGATTGGTGCGTAGGCAGAGACTGAAGGGAACAGGAGTGGGCTGAAGCAGCAGACAAGCTGACGCAGTCAGGTATTACTCAGCGCTCCATTGCCATGGCAACCGCCTCTGCTCAGACCTAGGAGACCTGAGGAGCTCACTGAGCAGAGCTCAGTACTGTCCCCTCCTCCCCCTTCTCCTTGGGGGTGAAAGGGGGCCATGTTGGACTCTAGTGGGTCCTAAAGATGTTAACCCCTTCCTTCCAGGAAGCACTGCAAGTGGTACCTGCATGGACCTGGTCAAAACATGCACAGAACTGTTTGGGCATCACCAGCTGCAGGGAGGTGGCACAGAAGGGCTAAGTGGCTGTACGAGTTGTCTGATCAAAACATTTGCCCTTACCAAGTGCAGTAGAACATAGCCTGTTCTACTGTAGTTCAACACACACACACACACACACATTTATACACACTGGCTAATTGAGACCCATTAATCAGTGGTTCTCAGTCTACGGTCCGGAGGTCCTATCTCCAGGGGGTCTTTAAGGTCACAACCATTTTCAAAATAATAAATAATGTTGCTTGATTTTTTTATCTTCAATCTGTCATGAATATGCCATGGAATTTTCCAAAGGCTTTGGGATATGTGGATATGTAACACAGTAAATACAGAAGCAGGCATGAAAACTCAACAGTCTTCCATTAAGCCAGACGTGAGAGAGATTTACAAAAATGTAAAACAAAAATACTTGTTTCACAATTGTTGTTTTGAAAAATACAGCTAGTTTTCATAAAAATATGATTAATAATTTTTAGCATCAGGACTCTGACAAAATGTCTGGGTCCATACCCCTATACTCCTGAATGTGATGACTTTCCATGGCTTCAACCCAAAACTGGAGAGGAGCAGACAAATGGGCCAACCTTGAATACATCTTCAAAAGGGTAAACCTTAATGGTATATGTGGTTATATGAGTCCAGGGAGTTTAAATCCTTTTTTTTTTTTCTTCCAGTACCAGTAATTGAACTCAGGCCCTTGCGCTTGTGATGAGGCAGGCATGGCGCCACTGAGCTAAATCCCCAGCCCTTTGAGTCATTTTTATTTTTATTTTTTATTTGAGTCATTTTTTAAAAATTATGTTAAACTCCATTTTTTTTCTGTATTCAGTTTATTATTATAGCAATTATTATAGAAATATAGATTAGAAGTTTATGTGGCAGAACCTGTTGCTTACTATGTGGTAAGAGTGTGATGACCAGAAAAATTAATTTTATAACAAAAAGTAATTGATTTTTTATAAAAATAATTACAGATGGAGGTGATGGTGCATGCCTATAATCTCAGAGGCTGAGGCAGGAGGACTGCAAATTTAAGGCCAGCCTATAATGAGATCCTATTTCAAAAAAACAAAAACAGCAAAAATGTAGAATTTCTGATTTCTAAAAATAATCTATACTGAAAATCTCTTTCAGGTTCTTTTTGAATAAAAGAGATCCTGAGATTGTGTTAGCGTGTGTAAGACACATAGATATACCCCCCCACACACAAGCACACTGGAGAATTCCAGCACTAAGCTGATCATGATCCTTAAAGCTCTGCAGCCCTGGCATGTGTGCCCTAGTTTATGAGCAATAAAGGCAATGTGATTGTGACAAAGAATGGAAAGTTGGGTTAATTTTCTATTCTGAGCCATTTCAAAGCCTTCCTACAGCCCATCCCTGGCCCTAGGGGAAGACCAGGGACTACTGTTCATATGATGGGAGAAGACTGCTCTCATAGTTTTTGGGTTTCTTCTCAAAGTGGCCACCACTCTCCTGCTTGACCACTGCTGTTATGTCCAGCCAGGTAAGGCAGTCATTCCCAATGCTGGTTGCATCTTGGAAGTATCTGGAAGATTAAATAAAACAAAAACAAAAAACAACACCCTTCTCTGGGCTACTACTCCAGACTAAAATTAAGATTTCAAGGACCAAGGATTTAGCTCAGTGGTTCTGTCACCTGCCTCACAAGTGCAAGGACCCGAGTTTGATCCCTGGTACCCCCCCCAAAATAGATTTGAAGACTTAGGCACTTTTTTTCCCCCTTTTTTACTGAGGTGTAACTCTTTTGTAGACAAGGTCTTGCTATGTAAAAGAGGCTGGCTTTGAATTTGCTATGTAAACCAGACTGCACTGGAATTCAGAATCCTCCTGCATCAGCCTCCTGCATGCTGGGATGACAGGAGTGTGCCACCACACCTTGCAAGAGCACAGATCTTAATGATTGAACTCCATGGTTTGGCGGGGGGAGCGGTTTTGAGACAGGGTCTCACTATGCAGTGAGACTGACCCGGAACTCACTATGTAGCCCAGGCTGGTCTCGAACGCACAGGAATCCTCCTGCCTCAGTCTCCCGAGTGCTGGGATTACAGGCGTGCACCACCATGCCCGGCTCTCCATGATTTTCTTAAAACTTTTATTATACCAGGTAACTTCCACCCAGACCAAGATGTAGAACATTCCCAATTCACCTGTGGGCTCCTGCATGCCCCTTTCTAGTTAATATTTTCCCCAAAGGTAACCTCCATTCTGATACTTATCATCATACGTTTTTTTCCTGGTGTAAAACTTTGTTCTCTTTATTCATGTTCTCTTTATCTATTTAAAACTACGTAGTTCTCTTAGGACTTTTTTGCCCAACATTGTGACATTCATTCATGTCATTAGCTATAGTAGTAATTTATTTTTGTGTACTATTTAATTGTACCACACAGTTTAGTCAGGTCTAGTCAACTAGAGGCTGCTGACCTCTGTGCTCAAACACACCAAGCCCCTTACCTAACCGTTGTTCATACCTACCTGCTTCATACTCAGCAGCTCACCATGCCCTGCTAGTCTTTATATGATTGGTTCCTTTTTTACTTTTTGGCTCTCAGATCCATTTGCCTCCTGAGAGGCCTCCTTTGACCACCCAATTTAAAATAGTCATTCGTCTACTTTCTAGGACATATACTGTCCAATGCTTTATGTAGCCCTCGGCATATTTTCTTATTTGCTTAGTCTGCCTCTAAAATGTAAGTTCTGTAAGGACAGTTTTACCATTATTCTATCCTCAGTGTCTAGAAAAATGTCATAAACATGAATCAGATGGCACAAATATTAAAGATAACCCTTTCCCAGAGTTATTCTATCAAAATGATTATTCTGTCAAAAATCCAAGTTTTGAATTCCAGGTTCCTCAAGACTAAATGGAGGAAAAACATAGTTGCCTTTGCAAACTACAACACAAATGCCTCTCTGGGGGGATTTTTTTTTTTTTAAATTGTAGTGCTAGGGATAAATCCAGAGCCTTGTATATGCTGGGCAAATGCTCTACCACACTCAGCCCTTTTTGAGAGTCATGCTAAGTGGACAGGCTGGCCTTGAACTTTCTGTCTGTTTTAGTTACTTGTTGCTGAGACAAAATATCTGATACCCAGAATTAAAGTAGGAAAGGTTTATTTAGCTCACAGTTTGTAGAGGTTCAGTCCCAGTTGGCTGACTCCAAGGCTGGGTGGTGTGGCAGACAGGGATCACTAAGGAGAAACACTTCGTGGCAGGCAGAAGGCAGCAAAGCAAGCGACAAGCCTCTTTCTGTTTTATCTTAGCATTGCACCATGAATTAATCCCAGTGTCATATACTCTAGATTCAGCCACTTCTGAAAAGCCCCACCCATGGTCACATGAGGCTTTGGGGAGACATCTAGACAACCGTAACACTATCCTCCTAACTCAGCTTCCTGAGTAGCTTTTAGAATATAGTTGTGCGCCGCTCTGCTTGTCTTGGGACTTCTTGATTAAAGCAATATGATTTTTTTTCAGTCTTGTATAGGTTAATGCAGTATTTTATTTATCCTGTGCATTAACTAGAAAACATTTGCAATATTTAATTAAACTTTAAGATCAAATTTCATTTTTTTTACATCTAAAACTGGGTATTAATAAGTCAATAGTCAACATAATTATGGTTAAAATTATCCTGTGAAAAACTTAGAAATAAATGGTTGGTGTTGGTATATTTATATACACCTCAATTTTTGGTGTAAAGTTATTTGTTTGCAAGAAAAAACATTTGGTTTACTTCATTAATAGGAATATCCCTTAATGCTGGGATGGAGTCTTCTTGGTATTTCTTCTGCTGTTGATTTTTAGCATAGTTATCTGTAAGAAAAGAACAGAAACTCTGTTTACCCGAGCAGTTTCTCCTGTACATGTCTGGCTACTGAAGAGTCATCACACAGTTCACCAGGCTGATGTCTAGGTAATGACAAATACCATATTTAACATAATTAAAGGATTACTTAAATCCTCTCTTTAGAAGAAATATTCAAATAAAAATGTAACCAGCAAAGAACTTTTCTTATTTCCAACTTGGAAAAATAAGTATTTCCTTCAGCTGTATCATGTTTACTGAAGTCTTATTTTATGTTTCTCATAGGGATAGAGTTATATGCAGGCCTTGCAGATGCATTTGTATCAACACTGAAAGACGATTAAATCATTTGATGTAAATGTTTTGGAAAACTTTAGTTTCTTCGCTTTGTACACATTTCCTATTTGCTCTAATTCCAGTTAAGAATGGTGGGAATACAGTAGGTGTCGGGTAAGAAATTAAAACTACTATAATTTATTTTCAAAACACATTGCACAGGCTCACACACACAAAAAAAGGTTTGGAAAAGTTAAAAAATTCTTAAGGGGAAATGAAAAAAGATTTCACTTCATAGCATTTGAGAAGGCTCAGGAATCTGTCTTTTAGACTTGTGGGGGAGCCCAACCACAGCATGCTGTGGCTCTTCTACCCCCTTACCTGAGCCACCCAGAGGTTCACACACCCTCAGATCCCTGTGAACATGGTCTCTACATGCCTATGCCTGTTTGCCATCCTCTGATCACAGTGACTGTTTACAACAACCAAGTTTCTTTCAAGTAAAGTTGCTGAGAAGCATACTTTATATATTTGTTTTTATGAGGAAATACACTTAATAGTTATAATTCCAAACTGATTTCCTCCATGAAACTAGTGCATATTCATCATAACTGTATTCCTCTATGTATGTCTTTTGTATAACTCTGTATGGGGTATTTATTTCCTCTAGGTTCTTTTTATTGTTAAAGACATTGTATTACCCGGATATAGGTACAACCCTGTTTATAGCAGCAGAACTCTTAACAGCTGAATCTTGGAAATGGCCTATATGTCCATCAATAGATGAATGAATAAAAGGAAGTGTGATCTTTATTCATATAAAATAGTGTACTGTTCTGCCATGAAGGATAAACTTGAGTCATGTGTAGAAAAATGGATGTCCTTTGATGCCATAATGTTAAGTGAAACGAGACACACAAGCTTAAATATTGCCTGGTTTCTTTTGTATGAGAAACCCAAACTATAAAGAACAAAAGATAGCTAATAGGAAGTAGGAAGACAGATCTTTGTCCCAGCATGTGACTTTTTTTTTTTTTTTGGTACTTTTCTTTTTTGTGTACTTTTCTTTCTTTTTTTTTTTTGTACCAGGGATAGAACTCAGGACCTTGCATGTGCGAGCCAGGCAGAGGAACCACAGAGTTTAATTCCTAGCCCTTGACTGCTTTTCTGATAAAAGTGCTAATATCTCAATTCTTCACTCGTTCACCGTTTTCCTTGTATGTAAATTTACCTGTGATTGTATGAATGGAGTTGAGTGGAGAGGTGCTCATCATGTTAATTCCAAATAAGAGTACATAACCGGTTACTATAGTAATGAGGAGGTAGACAGGCAGTGCAACTGCCCAGTATCTGCAAAAGGGATAATAGATAATACTGTAGATTATCCATCTACAGCAAACATCTTACAAAGATATAATTCTCAATAGCCATAAAATATACTTTTGAAATTATATTACACACACACACATTTTTTTTTGACACCAGGGATCGAATTTAGGACGTTGCACTTACAATGGTTGGCACAGCACTGCTGAGCTACATCCCTAGCTTTTTATTGAAGTTAGTCAAATAGTTCCAAAACAGTTACAGTGAAAACCTGCAGTCTTCTGTCCCATCCATCCTGACCCTGTTGTCTCATTCCTAGTTAAGGACTTCTTTTAATAGCTGAGCTGCTGCTTCTGGTACTTACATACTCATCTCACACAATATACTCACTTTTGGAGGTTTTTTTTTTTTTTTTTTCAATTTCAGACATTTCCTCTAGATTTCCTGAAATGGAGATGAAGATTTTTATCTTCTTTTATTCTCCGCTATAATTAGGTCACTATCCCTGATTATATTAGTGTTTAAAAACTATTGTGACTGTTCAGTGTTTGCAACTGACAACCTTAGTGTATATTTTTATGTTTTCTGGAATTAGTAATTGCATCTTTTTGTGTATGTTTGGCTTCTTAAATATCTATCAATACTCCAGCCTCCAGTTCTCCAGCATACCTCTCAGTACAGTTAAGTACATCAAGGGTTCTATCTTGACATGGTTTATTGGATGCTTTTGTTTCTTTTATTCCTCCCTAGTTTAGCTATCATATTTATAATTTTCAAATACAGTAATTCCTTAAACATTCCCTTTGTACAGCATGCTGTTTGTTTCACACTTACAATCTTTATATCTCTTTGAAGATTTAGGTCATTTAAAAATTTTTCTTCAACACTTAGCATTTTCTCCATTTCCTCTAAGTTCACTTTTTCTTTTTGTATTTCACGTTAGAGGTCTTCTTTCAGCTTTCAGTGTCCAGTCATTTATGCTGGTCAGTCCATATTTAACAATGAAGTGTTCACATGCTAAGGAGAAGCAATGTGTGTATGTGGGCAGGGAGGCTCAACTGCAGAGCCTGCCAGTAGGATTACCTGGCCCCTTTACTGAGCTTGTCCAAGGGTTAGAAATTAGAGATCATTTTCTTTTATACTGGTCCGCTTCCTCCCAACTTTTTCTGAGAAGGGAGGGTGGTGGTACAAGCCAGGGAGCCTGCTGGGAGTGGGGGTGGAGCTTATCAGTCCACCATGCAGATGTCCACTTATTTCCAATAAGGTGCTTTGTTTCCAAACTCAGACCCACTGGCCCCAGATAAAGCCTCCTCAGCCTTCCCACAGGTCAAAAATGTTTTCTGCAGGGAAGGGCAGGGTTGGTCTCTCAGGTATGAGGGGTAAGAGAGAGGTTTGAGGACCTAATGCTCTTTAAACCTATTTGCTGTCCTATGTCTGAGCCATTGTGGAGTTAAGGGCACAAATATTGATGGCTTCACCATTTCAGCAATGGAAAACAGAGATTTCCGCACCTCAATCCACTTCTCAGAATTTTGTTGCTACTTCTCATATGCTATCCTTTATTTCTATGGACTTATACCTTAAACTGCTTTTGTTTTCCCTCCTCTAGGGTCATTTTAGCAAGATTTTATTAAGAAAGAGAAGTAGAAATGTGTGTTCACCCCACTATCTTTCATGAGAGGTGTATTCATAATAATGTTTTAAAAACTTGATTTCTGTATGTCTAGTCATGGATTTTAAAGAACAGCTATGAAAAAGTTATCTTGAGGAAGAATACGATCCTTCAAAACAGCATTAATTTTACTATTATTTAAGAAATTTAAACTTACTTTTGAGGCCAATAGGTTAAGCCTAAGGAGTGTAGCCAAGATTCAGGAATGAAAGCCCACACAAGATAAAGTACTGTAAGAGGAAAAAACAAAAGACAGGTCAGTGAGATGCGTGTTCAATCTGGTACAGTTTGCAGATGACAGAAAAGCTCTTCTTGTGTCTCTCATTCCCTAAGAAATGATTTTTCCTTCTTTTCAGTTCTCTGGCTCCTTACTTGAACCATTCTTCTAGTACTTAACCTAATTGCCTTATTGTCAGTCATTTTTTAACATCTTAACTCCCACATTATACTTTAAGCAATTCAAGGGCACAAATCATGCCTTATTGATTATAATTTTACAACACTGAGCAATCTGCTGTAAGTACACTACATGTTGGGTATTTCACCTCCACATCCCCACAGGGCTGAAGCAATTACAGATGTTTAGTTGTTTAGAGGAGAGTTTACTCCAGTTCTGGTCACTACATGGTGAGCTTGTCTTCTCTCCCAGAGTGCAATCTTCAATCTCAAATCTTGATAGCAGCCTTTATGGTTGCTCCCTTATAGTAACAGTAGCTAAGCACTGCTTGCACACTCTCGGATAAGCACAACTCTACCTGCATGATTTCATTTCATCCTCAAAACAGTCCTGAGATATGTATGCAGTTTTTACAGATGAAGAAACAGCCTTAGGCTGTTTTTTCTGGCCAAGGGAAGTGGTAGGGACAAATTTCAAATTATGTACATCAATAATGATAGTTTTTTCCTCTACAAATATGTATTGTAGAACCCTGTCTGTCAGGAGTGTGAGATACAATGGTGAACCGTGAAGGGGGGATGGCTTCTGTCCTCTCAAATTTAAAATCTAGTGGTGAGTGGGGTATGGTGGTATATGGCTATAATTCCAGCTCTTGGGAGGTGAAGGAGGCAGGAGCATCGCCATGAGTTCCAGGCAAGTAGCCTGTGCTACATAGTGAGCTCAAGGCCAGCCTGAACTGCATAATGAGACCGTGTTTTTTAAAAAAAATCTAGTGGTGAACAGGAACAAGTTAATTGATCTTTTCACTATATGTGCTAAGGAACAATAAAAGATGACATTACACATTTGAGGAACTTTTCTTCCATTCTACTTCATCCTTCCCTTGCATAATTTCTGCCCATAGTACCTGTTATCATCTGGCATTGTATACATTTTACTTACTTGTCCATTGGCACATTCCTCCTAGAAGAATAAGAATTCTCTGAAAGCAGAAAAATTTTGGCTAGGTTACTTCTCCCTGGCTTGTCACTGTGCCAGGCCTATGGCAAGCACTCAAATTCTTGAATTAAGTTTCTGTAATGGGTATCATTGGGGTTAAGCCTTACAGTCACTGTATTTATTTGTGTCATTTCTAATCCTTCAAATACTCTTTAGGAATTTACAAAATGGTAATGACAGCAGCTAACATTTATTACTTATATTCTTTTTTGAAGGTTTTTTTTTTTTTTTTTGTAACGGGGATCGAATTCAAGACCTTTTGCTTGCCAGGCAGGTGCTGTGCTCCTGAGCTACTTCCCTGGCCCTATTACTTATGTTGTTTACAGTTAAATAAATTACCCCAATTAATAACACAAAAGAGGTAGAGTGAAATCAGGGTATCAGGTTCAAATTCTAGCTCTTTCATTTACTTGCTCCATGACTTTACGACAGTACAGTAACTACTCATCTTTACGACAGTAGCAGTACCTACACCTCACAGGCTTGTGGTTTATGTGTAACAAGCATTCAATAAACATTATCAGTACCCTTTTACAGAAGAAACTGAAGGCTCAAAGAAGTAAATGGTGTCAGGTCAAACACTCACCAATTGGTGGGGGAGTCAGAATCTGTACTCAGTTATTACTAACTCAGACTGCACTAGGCCACAGTGAGGCCCTTACGTTGGTATTTTTTAAGGAACACTACTCCCCGACCTTCCTGGTTTCTACCAGGTTCCAAAAAGTGAGACTGGAGGCATTTGATTTTCTTCCTCTTGATTGCCTCATAATTCCCAAATCCTCTTGGGACGGGACTTGAGATCTGCCTTGTGACTGTGTTGTTAGACCCTTAGGGAGCCTCAGTTTCCTTACGTGTAAGTGGAATACTGTGGAGATTGACGTTCTGCATGTGAAGGGTACATCTTTCAACCAACTTCTCTAGTCCAATTCTTTTCCCTTCTCAGCTGCTGCATACTGCTTGTGATATAGGGCATATGATACAGGACTTCCAAATTAGCCAAAGAATTTAAGAGAAGTATTAGAATTTCCAACCTGCTAGATAGCTGAAACACTGAGTTCATGTTCTCTAGAATCTAGGAACAACGGATGTTAAGCATGAGAAGAATTTATTGCGAGAAAGACAGCTTCTGTTTAAAATACTTGGAGCTGTCCCAAATGCCTGACTTCAGATCTTGTCATGTCTTCCTTAAAGGCCTTTCCCTGTCTTTCTCCTCCCCTAATTCTTCTGTAATCAAGTGCCAGGGACAGCTTCTGGGAGGACGCTGACTTCCCAGCTTCAGTAGTATAACTGTAGATTTACTTTTCTACAAGACCATGACCCCTTTAAGGGCAAGCACCAGGTTTTACACACTGCCATCTGGCCTGGTGGGAAGTATGTTGAGACTAAACCTCTTAGGCTAGTGCTGACATACAGAACACTCCAAACATTACTTCTTTTCAGGTCTTAACAGGGGTGTAAGTAGGACGAATCAACAGTTCATGTTTGCACATTCTGAGAACAGATGCATTACTTCCTGGTGCTTGGACACCAGAGAACGACCCTCCCGGGGGAGTACTTACTGAAGCCAAATTGAGAGCTTAAGAAAAGTACAAAGCCATAAATCGCTCTTTCTGGCAATGGCGACGGTGAGTTTTCCACCATTTTCCCGGTGGCTTTGGACAGTCTGTGGAGAAGGAACACAGGTGTCAGTGACTGACTCCCCTTCCCCACGGGGCTATCATGGATTCCTGGCTTTGCTTTGGGAATGGTCACTGCAGGGCAAAGCTGCCCTCTGCTGGGCCGAGGGCGGCCCGGGACGCCCCAGACTGGGTCCTGCCCTCTGGGGTGTGTGTGGGGGGAGTGTGTTCCCCACCTGCGGCGGGGCGCGGGAGGCCCTTGACCGTGGGTCCTGCTTAGGTCGACGCGGAACCCTCGGCCACTTCAGCGGGGAGTTCTCTGCGCAAGCGTCAGCCTGGGACACGCAGTCGGGGAGGGGGTGCAGCAGCACCGAGGGGGCTGCCAAGGCGAGAAGACCGCTCCGCCCAGGCTCTGTCGCAGCCGGACCCTAGTTTGGGGCCTAGGGGCCAGGGGCATGGCG